TAGTTTTTGCGTTATATCGACCACCGTAAAAATTTACAATCTGGAAGTTTCTACTGGCTGCACAAACAATAACCTGAATTTATTTTATATACGAGGAGGGGGTAAATGAGCTCGATGCACCCGAGCAAGGGGTAATAGAGCTTCTGTCAATACCGTGCCTGTGCAACACGGCCAGCCACCAAGAGACGGCAGCCCGTGCTATACAAAAATCTATCGGGCTCAGTGACTGCTGCATAGTGATGTGCTACTAAATAAAACTAAATAAATGCTATTTAATTAGTAAAAGCTTCCCTAAAATTAAATGTAGTAAACAGTAAAGTTTATGAGGCAAAATTAGTAAAAGTAAGTAGATATTCAGCTACAATAGTAAATAGTAAGTAAATTGTAAGATTTAGCTTTCGTTAAATAAAAGTTATTTACTAATTCATTTACTAATAGAAATTTAGCGAATAACCAGATAAAAAACTCATTGCTGTACTTGGGTGGGTTCATCATTAACGGCTTTGCATACTAAAGTTGGTGCTCTAGCAGACGGTGGTAGTGCTGTTCACGTAAACGCAATGTACCGCCAACCCGAAACTGCGGTTACGTTACGTATAATTATAGGCATTTGAAACACAGTGAAATGCAGCACAGCCCGGCAAGCCGATTTGTGTTAAAGCACAGTTGTAATTGTTACATTTTGCCTTTTACAGACCATATATTCGCATAAAGTACAGTAACTTTAATTCCTTCATGAAATGCAAGCCGTCTCAGTATGATAATAACATTGAGTTACAAATTAAATTAAATTTATTTAGTATAATTAGTAAGTAAGGGTTGGGAAAAATGGGAATAGTAAGTAATAGTGCATTTGAAAAATTTTTGAGGTTAATAGTAAGTAATAGTAAGTAAAAGTTTTGGAAGATTAGTAAATAGTAAGTAAGGTAGCAGGAAGCTGTAGTAGCACATCACTACTGCTGCAGGTGTTCTGCGTGATAGCACGGGCTGCCGTCTCTTGGTGGCTGGCCGTGTTGCACAGGCACGGTGACAGATAACGAGCTCTATTACCCCTTGCTCGGGTGCATCGAGCTCATTTACCCCCTCCTCGTACTTAATGGAATAGGGCTACTAAATTACTTAGCAGAACCGATACAGTCCACGGAACAAACCATATTTATTTATTATTTACAACGAGTACAGAGCTTTATTCGTGCTCCTTGAAACATTGAAACGATTTTGTAAACATTAACGTATACCAGTTTTAACGTCAGGAATGCTATAATTATATAATAAACAACATTACAGCGGTCATACTGAATTTACAGTTTTACGTACATAAAGCATACATACTGGCACAACGTACTAAACGCGGCACCAGCACGCTCCGGCGTCACTGCAGTGGCCGTTGTTGAACTTCCAGTCCTTGCCCTGTCCATGCATGGGCTGCTTGCAGCACGAATTGCACGCATTCGGAGCACTCTCACCACCACCCGTATAGCACAGGCCGCAGCAGTCCCCGAAATCCTTGCACACGTCGTGGTCCAGGGCACTGGTGATGGCCGCGCAGCACAGCAGCAGAAGAATGCCGAGACACTGGCGATGCATGGCTACGATGAAATGGACGTCCTTGAGAACCGAGGGGATGAAAAGGTCACGGTCCGCAGCGCTTTATCTAGCGTTTGACGGGGAAAAATGTGGGATCAAGGTACAAGAAGACGCGACACTGGAAAGCGAATGACTACAGTACTTCATTTGTGTTTAACTCCCGAAAACTGAGCGGCTTTTATAGGACTCCTACTAGTAGGGTACTGTATATGGCAACTGCAGCGATACCAATCTCATCGAGTTGGTTAATTCATCGTCACCAGTGGAAATACATATATTTCCCCGAAGAGGTCTTATCGCAGATGATCGCCGGGTTCATTGCAACGGTATGCAAAGCGGAAAGAGCCTATGTTTATCAACATGTTTATTACCGGCGACCAAAGGTCACACTGACACCGGCAGTTCGACAATTTAGATTAACAGTTAATTTGCGAACATATTTTATAAAAAGTGCCATACCGTATTGTTGTTGTGTTTTCGTAGTGCGGCACTACTTATTGTCAAATAAATAAATTTTTACGATAATGTACTTAAACTCGATGCTGGTCGTCCTACCTTCTAAAGTATATCTATATTTTCGGCTCTATCTGGGCGACATCGCTGCAAAACAGAGCAAACTAATCGAAAATCCCATATAGTTTTCAATGTATGCCGGTGGTGAATGTTATTACCTATTTAGTATTTATTTGTAACCAAATTAAACTGATAAGCGATTTTTGAGAAGAACACCACCACCCAGCTGTTTATAAGGGTGACATACTGCCTAAACACACTTGATTGAACAGATCAACAAGTGCGTGGTTGCAAAATGTTTTCTCCTTGATAACTGATGGAATGTTTAGTCTAACCCTCAGTTAATGATAACGCACGTGCCATAACTTAATACATACATACAATAATGATACACAATTATTATTATTTATACTTCGCAGCTGTTGAGCACGTTTCAGTTAAATACACAGTACTGTTTAATACAGTACTGTGCAACTGTACTTGTACGTACGCAGTTGGTGGAGTTGGACCACGGTCATTAATACAGATAATTACAATGCAGTATGTACGTTTTGCACTGAAATAGAACTTCGCTGTGTGCAAGTTGATTTGTAAACCGTCTGCCTTCGCTGGCTCCGCATTGCTTTTGCCCTGCTTTATATTTTGCGTAATGTTTTTTCCTTCGGTACTACTGAAAATCAAGAATTTGTTTTTGGTAGGACAATTTGTTCCTCTTACTAACCCTACCTAAATTCATGCCCTCAGTTGCTGTTATAAATTTAGATTTTGTTTTTCTTTCTAACAGGCTAGCATTCACGCTCGTTCCACTGCATGGTGCTTTGATTGTTGATTTCATTGCTTCTCATGCCATATGTTGACGAATATGGATCCAGAATCCGTGATGGTACCCACGGAACGCGTCTCCCGATCAGTACGTGACTGGTATCTTCTGCCGCAAGGATACAAGAAGTATCCACGACTGTGTGGATGGATTCCCGCTGGACCGGACCAGAAGCAACATAAGATCACGGCTGGCCGAGTGTCCAAGCGCATCAGCAAGCAGACAATCAAACCAGTAAGTACGTAACTGCACTGGCTTATGTAATAACGCGAAGACGAGCTTTAATGTACTCGTAGCTATTTTATTTTCGAAAATTGGAGGATTCGACATCTTGACGTTTGATGTTATTCATAGGCGCGTACCTTACCTGATTAATTTTGTAATTACCTTAAATTGTACTTGTACGAGTAATTCTGGTGCGCATGATATAACTAACCTGTCCGCATAAGCTGTGGACAGATTGGCGTTGCATTCTTAAACTGACGTTGTCTGTGTCTTTGACTCTTTGGTAGCTAGCGGATCACTGTACCAACTAGATGGCCCCTGTGACAAAACGCAAATGAGGGAGAACGGATTCTCGGCGGCTTGTACTCACCTGTTTCAGTGCGGATTTCCGATGGACTGGAAATGCTTCGTGGATGACGAGTTATCCACAATGAGCCGTCTTGCCATGCTGGAACCGACGGCGCTGCCTAAACATCGACCAACGGCTGGCAAACATCCCAGAGCTCCGATTGGCGCGCACAAAAAGATGGCGACGGATCGTCCTGACGCTGCCACTGGTGGGCCCAAGAAGACGCCCAAGAAGCATCCAAGACGTCTGCGCACTGTGAACTGGTATACAAAGACACTGCAAGCTGTCACCGTGTGCCATCGCCCCGTCGTCGCGCCGCCGAAGTCCTCTTCTCCCCGGCAACGGGCAGTGATGCCCTGCCGACCGTTGACTGGTCGTCCGTGGTGGGGGAGAACTTCTCGCCGGTGCGCTTCCACGATACGACGCGGACGTTCCGCATGTCGGCTGGGAAGGAGGAAACGGAGGCCGGGTGCAGTCAGGACGTGCCTTCGAACGCGTCCAACGCCTCGGCACGCCTGAATTTTCGAGGTTTTTTGGAGCAGGATAAACGGCACGGTAAAGTCCGCAATCCCAGTGTAGCCAGTCAGGTAGACTCGGATTGGTGTCGGCCGAAGAAGGTGCGCTTTGATGTGACGCAGTTGCCGACGCTGCCGCAGGAGAACGAGGATGAACGCTCCATGTAAATTGTCGCGGCCGGATTGCTGGCATTGGTTACTTGTTCCAGATTATGAAATGAGCGTATTTTTGAAAGTTTTTATGAACTTTTTTTAAGTTTGTACGTACTTTGTTCGTATTCCGTGTCTGGGAAATTTGTTTTACTGACTGTCTTTGGTGGATAGAATTATCTTCTGTCTGCGGTTTTTAAGTTTTTGAACGACATTATGTATGCGTACGTACATGCAGACTGGTGTATTGAGTTTTTATATGATTTTATTGGTTTTCAAATTGCGTATGCTGAAGATGCAGAATATGGAAATGTGAAGCAAAAAATATTTTGTGTTGCACGCCATTAGCCATGGTTTCTATTGCACCTTTTTACACTACAGATTACGGAATACAAACGTAAATTCGTAATGGACTCGTAAATTTTGTACTACCTCGGCTCGACACTGACACGGCACAATGATGCACGCTGAGCACGCATACGGTCAGCTCGAGTCTGCACGACGCTCGCCTGGATTTCTGATTTCTTTTAGGATTGTTTAACAGTTTACCTTATGATTAGATTAGGATCACACTGATAATTTTTTATATGATTTTATTGGTTTTCAAATTGCGTATGCTGAAGATGCAGAATATGGAAATTAAAATTAATGTGAAGCAAAAAATATTTTGTGTTGCACGCCATTAGCCATGGTTTCTAATGCACCTTTTTTACACTACAGATTACAGAATACAAACGTAAATTCGTAATGGACTCGTAAATTTTGTACCACCTCGGCTCGACACTGACACGGCACAATGATGCACGCTGAGCACGCATACGGTCAGCTCGAGTCTGCACGACGCTCGCCTGGATTTCTGATTTCTTTTAGGATTGTTTAACAGTTTACCTTATGATTAGATTAGGATCACACTGATAATTTTTGCAAATTTTCCCAGCAAATTACATCAGTTCTGTGTGGACAGTGGAGAAGTTATAGAGGGAACTAGATTGAATTCCTGGGTGATCATGTGGCAGCAGCAGTTCGGCTTTCAACGTGACACCGAGCAGCAGCTCAATGAGAATCCGTATGCTCGCGGTGAGCGCGGTCGTTTTCGTGGAGGACGGCGGGGGTATCGTGGACGGCGCCGCAATGGGCGACGTGGACGTGGTCCGACGGGCGTTCGTTCCACGGGAATACGGACCCGTCGACCAGGTATCCACGCTGGAAAAGGCCGGAGAAGTGGATCTGCGCTGGGCACTGCAGCGGTTCTGTACGGAACAAAGTCAGCGGAAACTGCAGATGGCATTGGACGCTCAGGAACGCACTGATCGCGATGACTTGCAGGTTTGAATCTTTTTTATATGTAGAAAATACACGTCTATTTTCCGCTTTAATCAGTTTAATGTGGAAATTTTCCAGTGAAGAAGAAAGCGTGAAGTACTCGTAGTCTCGTATGGATAATGGATATCGTTTGGCTGTTAACTTAACACTGTAAAATGAATTGTAAAATGTCGAGTATAAATAAGTAATAATAACAAATTGAATCAGCATATTATACATATTGATGTGTTTTGTGTGGAATTAGACGTTCTTTCTACGTTCAGTGTTTTGATCTTTAATTTGAAAATATTTTACTAAACTGTGGAAAAATGTGAAAACTATTTACAAATTATTTGTGAAAAGGCAACGTATGGAATTACTCTGTTTTAGTATCGGAACTATCATAATTATTATTTGGTTATTAAGCTTTTATTCTGCATAACCTGTTTGTTCTTAAGATAGAACGCCTGGAAAATGGAAACTAACTTTTCAGTATTTTTTTGAAATGTTTAGTAAAAATGTCTAATGATGTCGATTGGATTATTGTAGGAAACCGCTATCAATATGCGGGCTATCCGCGAAACGAGCGGTCGGGAGTTGCTGCAAATGGAGACAGCTGAGCGCTACTTTCAGGGCTTGGCCCAGCTGACCACTCAGGAGATCTGCCGTGCATACCCTGAATACGATTGGCGCTTTGTGGCACAGTCAAAGGACATCCTCGATGCACTGATCGCGCAGGTGGACCAGATCGGATGCGATGCCAAGGAGATACTGCAGTTTGCCGATGATGCCTTGGAAAGCCGCAAACTGAAAGAAGTCAAAGTGGAGCAGACAGATTTGCCAGGGAAAGCCCGAGCGGTTTACCGTTGCGCGAATTATCCGCTACACTGGAATGGTGATGATACCGGTGGCAGTGCTGCTCGGCGTATACTTTTTGCGGAAATAGAAGTTAACTATGTTAGACATTTTGTTTTAAATTGCGGATAACTGGTTTTTACGTTATCAGTGACTTAGACTCGGTGGAAATACTGTAGTAAATTACCAGGCACAACACCACAAACAATGTTGGAAATACTGTGTTGGTATTCTGTATTTTGTTAATACTTGACTTACAGATATGTTTTTCACCTCTTTTATATTTTGAGCTTTGATTTTTACTTGTGCTGTTGTTGATATGTAATGTTTACCGGATTTGAAAACGAGTCTCGTAAAATAATATCGTCATAAAAGTCTCGTAAATATCGATCGCCTATTTGAAGAACAGAAAATTAAAAATTCTGGTAGCTAACGATTTCGAAAAACGAAGAAAACGATCAGGAATCGCTGCTTAGATGTTTTTCGCAACAATCAAATCGCTTTCGTGTCAAAATTGCATTCATTTTATTATTATTCCATAGCAATTCGTTTGCATCGAATACATGGCAAAAGGAGGACCTTTGCATTCCGCAAACTTTTAAATTAAACGTGCAAAAAAAATATGCTGTGTTATAACGCCAGGCTTCTACATTAAAATACGACAGATCATACGAAGCCTGTTGCAACTTGCAGTACAAATAAAACGAGTAACTCTTGAATGTTAAAACCGTACTTGTGAAGAATAAATGAAAAACATGGAAAGCGTAGAAAGAAAAGCATTAGTTCTTCTTCCCTAGCCATTCCGCCAAAAATGGTGGGGGTTCCTGTGGGGGAGGTAGTCGAGGGGGAATCAGTTGTTCCTCCGACCGCTGCGCAGCTATGATCTTCTCCACCAGACGCACCACGAAATCACCTTTACGCGGTATCGACGATGCTGCCTTATGAACTCTTGTCCAACCTGCAAACCGAGGAAGGTAACTGTCAGAAGGATAAAGTCATACAACATGATACAGTACCTTCATCGTGGTGGTTGATTTCAGGTGTTGTTATTATCGTTTTGTTTAGTTATCAATACAAAATGATAACTAAACTAAACGATAATAACAACACCCGAAATCAACCACCGCGACGAAGGTATAGATATATCAACATTATGAATTAAAACCGCCGCAACAGCCGGCTTAATATCCATCATGATATTTTGTGTAACTGACCAACAGTAACAAACATGCATTTGAAATACCAACGTAATATAATATGATAAAATGGGTATGTTTAAATCATTCGGCTGCAGCTAGCAACAAAATAATACAGGAAAGTTGTCTGCTGCTACCAGTAACCTGGAAGGAACGCCAGTATTGTTCCGATTACAAAAATACTTGCTCTGGCTCAGCTATAAATCATCCCTAGTTCACACTTCACGAAATGAACGATGCAACCATCATAAATCGACGTATTTGTTAAACACAAAACAGAATCCGTGAAATGCAGTTTTGCGGTCCGTGAAATGCTACAAGTTTGTATGCTACAAGTTATATTTCCTTTTCTTTCGCATGCAATCGTAAAATAAGTACTCACCTGATTCGACCAGTCAATTTCTGCAAGTCCCAGTGGATAAGCCGCAGAGCATCCGCAGTGGTGGGCACGGCCAACGGGATATGGAGGAATAAAACCAGCACCGATCGCTGTCCGGTTATTGTCAAAAAATACCTGAAGTCACCATCAAAATACGTCAATAACATCATCTCTAAGCGACACACTAGGCTTGTTAATATAACCAAATTAATGAAATTATAAATACCGTGCTGGATCTCGTCGCACTACATCGCACAACAGGAAGGCACGGGCAATTTGCAAGCGGAAGAATTTCAGGAATTCACTCTGAAACGTAACGCACTGCTATGACAACATATATAACAACTTTTATCAAATCAACGTTAAACGTACATCTTCCGGCTTTTCTTCATCTTCAGACAGCTCCTGATTCGGCTCAACTAACGTGGTTTCCAACGAGGTGAACGAATCGTTGCTGGAGACTGGCGTAGGAAGGTCAACAAACGTTCGCCGGCGGACAAACGACGGACCACTCTGAAGCTGCGCCTCATCTAAAATAATTTCCCATAATTAAAAACATTAAAGAATTGTAACGGTTCCAGTTAAAGTTAATACTTTGCACGGACGGCGAAGAGCGCCCGGCATCCACAGCGAGAGACGACTGAGATGGTACCGGACCGCTACCGTTCTCTGTTACAGTGACACCCAATCCACGGACACTTTTCAATAAAGAGGCCAGCGACAATGGCCCACTGTCTTCCTGAACGCTTTCTAAAAGACCAACATATTCCAAAACCGATAAAAATAACGCTGATTGTCCGCTACTAAATTTTACCTTGCACAAGACTCTTCTCCAAATCGAGTAGAACGTTTCGGGTGTTCCGCGGGATGACTTCATCGGAATCTCCCGAACGCGGCTCGGATACGGTGGTGTCCAGGGAAGACAGTGTGTCGTTGGATGATGGTGATGAGTACTCGACAAATGTCCGGCTGTTAACTGGAGACAAGCTGTTGTCACGTTGGTATTGCCCTAAAAATTTGAAACAGATGATTTCAGTTCAAGTTTACGATGGATGTACGTCAAAAAATACAGAACAGCCCAAATTTGCCTTCCTTCGTTTGAAAGAATACTACTTGCAAGAATAATAATAATTTCCAGTAATCTTAACAATTAAATAATACCAGTAAAATTATACAAAACTCCTTCTTTTAAAAGTACTATGATAATATCAATAATGCTGGTATAAATACTTTGGAAAAATGTGGTAAAAGAGGGCAATGGAGATTCCCGGCCATCGTCATCCTCATAGCTGGTCTGTAATGTTTTGTTAGCAGTATAGATTCCCGATGGCTCCGGTATCTCAAACTGTTCCGGCGCATCAAATTCGACATCTGCTAGTCTGGACGTGATGTCCTCCGGAGGTATGGTCATCATCGTCAGCTCTGGTTCCTGATGAATAGTCACTAAAAAATAAAACAAAACCAGACTGCAATAACTGAGACGGAACTTCAACTGGCAGCGGGGTGTACAAAACAGCAAAAACAGCGAATAACTCACATGTCGGTGTTTTCTGGCATTCCAACAAGGGATTTTCTTAGAGTTTCAGAAGCAATCAGAAAATAGATTGCGAATCTCGTGAGGGTTTGCTCGGATTTTCGTCTCCAGTAGCAGATGAGTTTTTGCGCTCCAACGAGAACTTTCCTGAAGTATCAGAAACACGCGGAGTAGTTTGTGATTCCAGTGAAGGTTTTCTCCGATCATCCACTTTGGATGCAACGAGAAATGAATCAGATTGCACAAAGTCCGTTGGCACAGACGATTTGCGTCGCGGATCCATTTCGGAAGCCATGACAAAAGGACAAGGAGTCCAGTCTGGGAGAGCCCAGTCCGAAGAGGCTGAAATCGTTCCCTTCATTTCCCGCACCGATCAGCCCGTTTTGCGTGACGCCGGGAGACGAATGGCGCTTCGAGTCTGAGACGGGCGTGGATTCGGTGGAAATCTCCATACTGCTGCTGATGTCCTGATGTAAAGTGGTGTTCTGCAGGCTAACACAGGAGATGCTAGCTTCACCGCCACTATCCGATATGCTCATATCATGAACACTGAGCCGTGACGACTGTTCGTCGGGTGTCCGATTCTGTTCCGAGGTGATTGACTGGTTGAGAGATTCCGATGTTCGAGGTGACTGGCTGTGCTCATGCTGCCGTTTTTCTGAAACGGACAATTATACTGCACTAGTACCTGTACGAAGTGCGTAAACTTAAGTATAAGCTGATCCTATGACCTTTAGCGAATAAGGAAATTGGTAAAAATTAATCTATGCATTATATGTCATTTATGACAGAGTTTCTAACTAACCGGCGAAAACTGCGTCCAACAATGGTAATGGAGACGCCGAACTTGCAGGGTTTGTGGCAGTTTCAATGGAAATGTCCATTCCAGACGTTGCCGGCACAGGAATGTCGACAGCACTTGGTGAAAGTGCGGTTACTTCCAGCGACATATCGTTGACCATCGTCACTTCTTTTTCCGAATGAGCAGCAACTGACAATTCAAATGGAAAAGAGTTAAAAAAAGATTGACTGAAGCCTATGTAAAAAATGTTAGAATTTGACGAGTGTACAGTAGTTTCGAGTCTTGCGACATACACACGTCAATGCTGTGGAAGATGCGCGCATTCTCGGGGCGCACGCCTTCAGTTCTTTATGCTTCCGTTTTTTCTTATAACCTTGCTTTAGCCTAACTTTAAAATATTATGGTAAGGCGTTTAGCATTCTGTTAGCATTTTGAAAAGTGTAACTATGACGAAATCAACCTACTCTCCAAATTGTTTTTGCATTCCAGAGACGGTTTTCTGGTCGTCACAATTTCCGAAGCAATGAGGAACGAATTGGAATCCAGGAGCATATCATTCAACAGGGTCGCCTCCTTTCATGTTTAACAGTAACTGATAAGAAACAAAAAAATCTGTACTACGGAAGAATGATAGTCGTTCGAAACAAACTGCACAAACACAAAGTAAAGGCTGTTGGCTGCACAATTGTTTAACAAACTTGTTCAACATTCAAAAAAATTAGGTGGTGAACTTAACCTACTTGTACGATCTTTCTGGTATTCCAACGAAGGCTTTCTGCTCGTCGCAATTTCCGAAGCAATTGAAAACGAATTGGAATCCAGGGGCATGTCATTCAACATGGACAACTCCTTTTCGTTTTTAATAGTAACTGAATATAATAACAAGAAAACAGCTGAATATTGGTCCTCACTTCCGAAAACAAAACTACTTCTACACAAAGTAAAGGCGACTGGCTGCAATCGTCCGACAACTTTGTCCAGCAGCATGTTTAAATTCTCACGCTTCTTTTAATTTGTTAAAATTTGTCGGCTGAACCTACTAACATTATAACAAATTAGTTTTTTTTCCGTGGTGAATGGTAACCGATGGTTATTAAAACAATGAGTACTCACTCACGAAATAAAATCATAAAGTAAGGCAGCAGGTTATCTACTGATGGTGAGCCTTCAACAACATTAGGTGACAAACTTGGGTTACTTGTTCGATCTTTCTGGTATTCCAACGATGGTTTTCTGCTCGTCGCAATTTCCGAAGCAATTGAAAACGGCATGTCATTCAACATGGTCAGCTCCTTTTCGTGTTTAGTAGTAACTGATAATAACAAGAAAAGACTATATACTCACTGGGTATCACTTCAGAAACAAACTGCACAAAGTAACGGCGGCTGTCTGCAATCGTCGGACATTTGTCCAGCAGCATGTGCCAGTCCTTACGTTTCTTTTATTTTAAAATTTGTCGGCTAAAGCTACTAACGTTAACAGATTTAGTTTTTTTCCAGTTGTGAATAGTAACCGATAATTATACAAACAAATCGCGAAACAAAACTGCAAAATGTTAAAGCAGCAGATCGTCTACTGAGTATTCAACAACATGGTGATAAAATTAACTTACTTGTACGATCTTTGTGATATTCTAACGATGACTTCCGACTGGTCACAATTTCCGAAGCAAGTATAAAGGAAGTGGACTCCGGGGGCATATCGTTCAACAAGGTCAACTCTTTTTCGTGATGAATAGCAACTAAAAATCCATAAAACAAATCGGAATACTCTTCCCAAAATAAAGTTGTACAAAATCAAGGCTGCACATCCTGATAATTCCAATTTCCTGATACACTGGCGTCTTAACTTCAAACCAGCGGTTATCCAACTTTTAACAAAATCATTAAGCGACAAAATTAACTCACTCGTACGATCTTTCTGATATTCCAACGAAGCCTGCCGAACTGTCATAGCTTCGGAAGCAGCTACAAAGGAATCGGACTCTAACGACGGCTTTCTCCTCACATCCACCTCCGACGCGACGACAAAAGAATTCGATTCCAAGAAATGCGATTCCAAGGAGGTTTTCCGGCGCGTGTCCATCTCCGTCGCCATGACAAAGGAATGCGATTCCGGTTTAGGTGAACCGAAGCCGAACAGGCTGAAATCGTTGCCGTCGCCACCCAACCCCGTCTGCTCCTCAAACATCCCTTTTCCCACCAGCGGAGAATGCGGTTTCGTATCGGACAGGGAATCTGTGGAGATCTCCATGCTCATGTGATGGTACAAGCTGGTGTTGTGCATATCACAGCTGCTATTGCTGGATGTATCACCTACAGATGAGATGCATGCGGTCTAGGCACGTTTACGAAAAAGTTTATGAGTTCTTCAGAGTTTTTACCAGTTTGACACACAAACAAATGTAACTGAAATATGAAGAGTACGTAAAAAGAACTAATTCTTCGTACGGTTATCCTGTTTTCCACTGCATTAACCTAAATTCTTTTCCTTTCTTCTTTACTTTCTTCGTTTTAACTGCATTCAGCTAAAATTATTTTCATTTTATACGCGCACGGAGCCACGCGTCATCATAAAATGCATATGGAATGAAACTGAAATTATGCTTGCATCCCTAGTCAGTTACCTCCATTGTCGGAGATGCTCATGTCATGGATGCTGTGGCGGGTGTGCTCCAGACGCCGCTCCACCACTTGGCCATCCGTCAGCGTGGACAGATCCATGAAGGTGACGGAGGACATGCGCGACTGCATGGCGTAACCGTTGGATCCGGGGAATCGTTCTCGTCCGGCAGCGGCGAGGTGTCGTCGTTGTTGTGGTGGATTTTCATGGGGCTGGCTTCATTCCGCTCCGATTCGGGTAGCGGGGACACTCGGTCCAGATCACTGACGGGCAATGTTGCCGTATCCTCTTCCAGTCCAGGTTGTTCCTTGCAGTAGTTCCTGTGACAAAGAAAGATTGAATTTTATTTAACAGCCCGAACTTAACAAACAGCGCCAACTGTTATCAATGTAAATACCAAAATATAATCGTTAATTTAAACAAATTAAAGCAGAAGTACGTTTTCTGCACATTACAACAGCGCACACAAACATATTAACTCTCATGCTTGATGTACAGATTTAAAAAAGTTTCACCAAACAACACTGTAACTACAGAAAATAATCTGAAAACAGAAACTGTCATAAATTACAGATATTTTATACACGCAAGCGAAAACTACTGTATTTCAATTTTTGACACTGAAAGTTACTCAACTGTTACAGTACTGTGTTACATGACGTCGTGATCGAGATATAATACTAATAGCTCCAATGAAATTTCGAAGTTCAACACTCTACGCTTTTTGCACAAAATTTTGTTCGCGAGTTTCTTGGTTTCAAACAGTTTTTCAAAAAACACTACACTCACCTGAGTTCATAATTAGCAGCGAAACTGACGCGCCGTCGTTTTTTGGCGTCCGCAGCTTCTGCGTTAAAGCTGAACTTTTCTCCATCATTTCCAAATACAGAGAACGGTTTCATAATCTGGAAACGAATTATTATGCTTGCTTATTCATTAGATCACATTGCAAACTAGACGATAGCTCAAACATAAAGCAGGAAACGATGATTACAAACACCTACCGACGACCTGCGTCCTCGACGAGGTCCATCAGGTGGCAATCCGCTGGGTGCTGGTCTGCAGTGACACCATCACAAATACTCAACAATTCGACCTTCAAGAACGCACTTAAACGTATGAATACTTACAAAGTATCCATTCTGAATGGCAGTGCTAGACAATGTCCCAATCACATCCCATACTATGATACTAAGTCAAAATGGCAAAGTCACAAAGATTCAAGACTTCAAAATCCAAAGCATCCACTGCATCCTGCGCTTCACAAATCAACGGCGAATTCAACAACAAGTATTAGCAATCCACTGAAGAGTGAAGACTGTATCCCGTGCATAACATAAGAATACTACAGAATAACGGACTGACAGGTTGAACACGTTAGAAAAAAAGAAAATCTGAAACACTGGAGATTCGAAAACAATTTGTTACTGTAAAAAACTGTAAACAATCAATTCTCAATTCTCAACGTTATGAGATGCTCAGATGCCAACCGACTGGATTCAGTCCAAATTTGAAATCTCCAAGGCACGTTTAAACAAGTCTGCAGACTTTCAAAGGAAGCGCACGAGCGTTCGCGCCATCCAGGCTTAGCACAAGTTAAAATGGAATCCCACTAATTTGTTCATCCATTTCTCCTCACGGAATGGAATTCCATTTTCATTGTCTCCTGGATTCCAGTGCATATCCCGATGGAAATCAACAGATCTGAAAAATGTTGGCAAGATCATGGTGGATTGATTTCACTTTTTCAGTCAAAATTGATTTGATCATTTGAATTTTGAATGTTTTGACGTTATCCTGAATAATTTCGCCTTTTTCTCAAGATCCTCTCCAGAAAATCCGTATCCTGCAGGGTGATTGTCCGAGATCTCGTTGAGTGTTGCGAATCCTGGCGCGAGTTTGACGGATGAATTTGCACCGTGAATATCGTCTGACGCAAATGCTGCAGCATGAGTGGCATTGATCCTTGGTAAACTGCAGTTTGGAGCGTCGGATTGTTGATTTGTGATTATTATTATTATGACTGACTGAAGTGTAGATCAGTTATGAATTGAATTTTCTTTCTCAGTTTTTTGTCGGATCTTTTGACGCCCAAAATGAACCGTACCAAGCGAGCTCGACGCAGCTCAACGAACGATCGTGCCAGCGAAGACACCAATGCTTCCACGAGCTCCACATCCAACACCACAACGGCGACAACGCGGCCGAAACGCATGCGCAAGGAGGAGGCACGGGAGGCGTCCACGGCGTCCTCCGATGTTCAGGTAGGATGCATAAAGAACTTCATTCTTTGTGAATTTAATAAATTGCATCTGGTCCTGGTAGACGTCGCCGTTCACGTTTCCATACTAATAACTAACTGCAAGAAAATAACAGATGCTTGCAAATGCTAACTGCAAAGCCATTATGCCATTTCCTGGTGATTTCCACGATCAATTTTATTCCTACTTTGTGCATTTATTCCCTTTTCATTCATACTTTAACTTTTAAAATTGATTGATTGATTTTAGTAGAACCATTAATATGTAAGTTTTTTTTGGTATTAGCAGTTAGCTGATTTGTAATTTTGCTTATTTAGTTTTCGTTATAGTTAAATAGTTAATTAATTCATTTTGTGCGGTATTGTACAGCCTCCATCGCCCAATTCGCAAGATTTACTGGAGGAGCTCTTCACTGTTGTCGTGCAGCACACCGACGAAAAAGGCGCACAGATGAGCACCGAATTCACCCTGCTCCCTTCGCGCACCATCTACCCGGATTATTATGGAGTCATCAGTAATCCCATCGATCTCAAGCAGATTGCCATGAAGATTCAGGCTGGAAAGTATCGGACGCTGGATGCACTGGTGGAGGATCTGGTGCAGATGTTCAACAATGCACTCGACTACAACTCGCCAGCATCGCAGATCCATAAGGTTGGTGGATTAGTTGTTGCTTGCCAAGTTTCCAGAATTTTTACATTTTTATAGATCATTTTTATGCACGCTGTTAGTATTTTTCACGCTGTTATTTTCTTTTGACAAATGGCTCAGACTTAAAAGAATCCTTCAGTTCTTTATAGAATGGTGATTCTTAAGTCGTAAGTACGAGTACTTATGATTTTTGTTGTTTTATAAGTAAAGTTTGCATTTACAGTTTTGTTGTTTTGCAGTTTGCGCTCTTCTTGTGCATTAATTGCTAATACGAAAGACAATTACCCTTGAGTTCACTGGAAAACTTAATTTCTGTTCATTGAACAGATGATATAAACTTTTATACAATCTTTCGCTGCATAGAATCGTACCATAATTAATTTACGTTAGCCCATTTTTATTCAGTAAAACGTTTGATGAACACACATTTGCCTTTTCAGGATGCTGCAATGTTGAAACGCTTAACACTGAACAAGAAAAACGAATTCGATGTACGAGAATCAGCTCGCACGACCGAGCGTACAGTCAGGTATGTTGCACAGTTTATTACCCAGTTTATGTTCATGAAAGCCGTTGGTGTTCAGCAGTCTGGACAACTGTGCTGGCGTGCATGATATGTTTGTTTTTATCTCATTGTTTCTTACCAAGCCTTCTTGTTTCTTCATGTTTCCGTGTGGGATATATTTTAGCGAGGAACGGTGAGTTGACTCTTCTCTCTTCTCAAATCTTTCTGGGTGTTCTGTTTGTGTTGTTGGTGATCTTTGAGTTGGTTATATACCGTGAGATACCGCACTGATCGTGATTTTGCTGAAGGACACGCAGACAGACGCAGCTGGCATCGGCCATCTACGCCGCACTGGAGTACGGCGAGGAGGATGGAGTGCGGGAAGGGGTTGCGGAGGAAGTCGATGAGGTGGCGGATGAAGTGATGGCCGGGGATTCCGATGACGAGTCCGGTCAGGTGGAGCCGACCAGTGAAGGCAACAATTCGGCGGCCATGGAGGAGCTGTATGATGCGGTCACCAAATTGAAGGGCCCTGGTGGGCGGATTATATGCAATCCGTTCCTCAAACTGCCCAGCAAAAAGTACGGTTTGGAATTTTTTTCGTATTTTTTGCAGCTATCATGTTCGATTAAAGTACGTTGTATTACATAAATATGAACATGCATTTCATGATTTGCTAAAATCAGGATGAACAGCGTTTAATCCGTGAAAAGTTTCGGTTAAAGACCAACCTTGTTTTCTGACATTGTGATTGAAATATGTGGTGTCGCTTTACAGGATCTATCCGGAATATTACACCGTTATCCGATCGCCAGTCGCTTTGTCCCAGATCAAGAGGAAAATTAAGGTACTCGTAGTTTGTTTATGTTCAGTAACATTTGTTAGAGCATAATTTATGGTTTTTGTTAAATGAAATTCGCAGAAGGGATTGTATATTGCATTGGATGAAATGATCCTTGATCTGCAACTCATGTGTCAGAATGCGCAGATCTTCAACAACGAAAAGTCTTCCATCTATCGCGATTCGGAGCGGATAAAAAATTTTGTAGAAGGACGACTGAAAGAATTCCAACAAGTACGTCGGTTGGTGCAAATGTTTGTCTTTCCTTGCCAGTTATATTGTCTGCTTTGATAGGAAATTGATAAAAACAGTTCGCCTTTGAGAACGTCACTCAGTGAGAAACTACTGCCGGAATACGATGACTCGTCACTGCGTAAGCGTATGAAATTTTTATTGCGCGGCATCCTGGAATACAAGGATAAGGGCATCTATCCGGTGGAAATGTTCCTGGAGAAGCCGCTGAAGAAAGGATTATCCGGATTATTATAACGTTATCTCGCAGCCTATTGACATCAAAACACTGGTTAACAAAGTCCAGAATGACAAGGTAAAGTAACGTGAGTTTTCCTCTTTTATGGTGTAATTTGTCAAATATCGGTAATTTTTCTTTGTCTTGAAATGTCGATCTCAGTTGATGCTCTATTCATTCGTTCGAAAGACTTATTGGAATGTTTTGATTTGTTGTTTTTGTAAAATTAGTTATCGGCATGGTTTCCTTCATTTTGCAGTTTGGGACGGAAGAGGTGTTGCTGGCGGACATCCAACTTTTATGTGACAACGCAAAACAGTATAACGAAGAAGGTAAGATAAATGCTAACTTGATTTGGTGTCTTGTGTTCTTCTGCTTTGCCAGTGTAACTGGATTGCTTATCTTTAAAGGAAGCGACATTTATAACGATGCAGTGAAATTTGAAGAAATTGTGAAGAAATCCTTGCGCGTCATTGGCGTGTCGCCGACAGAAGAAAGCGGAAGCAGTGGCAGTCAGCGCCGACATACTTCCAGCGCACGAAAGTATGAGTAAAATTTTTATACTACAGTACGTTACAAGATGAATGGAACTTTTACTTACATTCTACAGATCTCAAAGTTCTCCACTCCAACGTCGCCGCTGCAGGCCTCGTTGATCGAACTGTACGAATACGTGTGCGAATTAACGGATGAAACCGGAAGACAGCGAAGTGAAATGTTTCAGACTTTGCCACTGAAAGCGGTAAATAAAGTCATTTTATCCTACAGTAAATTTCGAAGTAGAGTGCATGCCTTTACATCCAAATTAGTATTGCATCTTCATTCGGTTAATATACGTTTATCTTTTACCTTTATTTTTATATTTTTAATAAGGCGCTCTTGTTAATATATTTCGTTACTCATGGAACAGGAATTACCAGCGTATTACGATGTTATTAAGAAGCCGGTAGATTTGGATAAGATCTACAGCCGCATCCAGCAGAATCAGTACCCGACGATGGACGACATTATTGAAGACTTTGGACAAATGTTTGAAAACGCGGCAACGTTTAATTCACCGAAATCGCAGATTTACAATGTATGTAACACGAAAGCATGAAACTATTACAGTTTCTGGCGGTGGTTGGCAGAACTTTAAACGTTTAGGATGCACTGGTCCTGCTGGATGCGACCATGGAAAAGCACGCAATATGGGCATCTTCGCTTCGGAGGTGCCGAATGCGCCAGAAAGTGCAGGAGATGCTGCAAATTCTTATGGATAGCTTGATGAAATTCGAAGATGCCAATGGTCGGAATTTAGCTGAACTCCTTGGAGATTGTGTCGACGCGGAATCGGAATGCGGCAGTGAAGGCAGTGTGGATGAATCTACGTAAGACCCGTTGAGCATAACATTTTCCGGTTTTTTTAAAAAAAACTTTTGTCCATTAAATTATTCAACAGAAGCCATGTACTCCACATATCGATTTGCCTGCGCTGAGGTGCACTGATTAAAATAGCTCAAATTTTTGTGTCTCCATATACTTCTTACGAATAATAAGGGTAGAACTACAAAATGCTTTATGTACTGTACAATGTAGACAGAATAGACAGTGGGCATACTTCTGTTTTCTGCACTGTTTAAATAAATGTTGTTGGTTTTAGACCGCCTTTAACATTGGAAAACATCCGCTCCAACGTTTACCACGGCCGTTACCGCCGTCTGGACCGTTTACAGGACGATGTCTTCCGCTGCCTGGAAAATATCCGCTTCAGCGCCCAGCCAGACTCCTCGACCTACGAGGACGCGGTCGCCCTGCACGAGCATTTCATCAACAAACGCGATGAGCTATGCGGTGCTAAAGGCGAGAAATTTGTCTCCCCGGCCGTTCTCTACACTAAACGCCAATTCCAGCAATCCACTGAGCAAGAACGGAAGGAGGCTAAACGCCGACCGGTCTCCGCGGAACCGCCGAAAACCCCGCCACCGGCATCCGATTCCGCCGGAACCTCGGAATCAAAATCGGAAGGCCCTTTCCGTCAGCGTGGGGGCAGAACAGTACTTCGTCGGGGATTTTGTCTATGTTGAACCGTATGAAAAACTGAAGCAGCCGCTGATCGTCTGTATTGAAGAGCTGCTGATGAGTGGCGACGGCAGCGGGGTAATGTTGATCAAAGGGTCGTATATGTTGCGCCCGTATGAGACGTTCCATGTGGCCTCGCGGAAGTTCTACGAGAAGGAGGTGTTCAAGAGCGATATGGTGGAGACGCATGTACCCAGTCGGATTATCGGCAAATGCTACGTTATGGGAGCGAAGGACTACTTTAAGATGAAACCGGTCGGGTTTGATTATAAGGACGTGTATGTATGCGATGCGCGGTACGTTACCAAGCTAAAGACATTCCGGAAGATCAAGGTGCGTACTGCGTAATCTATTAAATATTCACAATAATTAAAATAAAGTATTGAGATTTTAATTAGAATGAAAGATTTAATTACGTTGAATACAAAGTAAAAGCAATAATGGGAAAAGCTTTACTTGTTGCAAGTCTAAGTTAACTTGACCCTTTGCAATTCGCACGCTTAAATTAAAAAATAACTCTTTGTTAACAGCACGTCCATTGCGTTTCGTCTGTGGTTGTGACTGCAAACATTGTTTAGTTTTGTGAGATCATGCTCCATATTCAGTAAATTGTGATTATGAAGGCCAACGGCATGTGTTCATTGTTAGCGTGACGTTTTTATCAGGCATGTCTGCATTAAGTTTATGGATAAGTTTGTTTTTGTAGGTATGGAAAATGCCGGAGAATTCGCGGGTTGTTCTGGTGGCACGGGAGAAGCCGTTGACGGCTGGCCGCGTTCCTTCGGTCTTCGCGGGTGCTGGTGAGCAGGACCTAGCGCAGTGCCCAGACTCAGAGGTTATCGATATATTCCGCGAGCCTGTATTGGCCAAAAGTGCCAGTCCCGATCCGGATTACACCTTTTATGAACAGAAGGATTCACCGTTGGGCTTCTTGAAGATTGGCGACTGCGTACTGGTCAAGAACGAAACCACGCACCACATCATCAAAATTGACAAGATTTATTCCAAGCTGTAAGTTCAGAAAACTGAGATGTACATTTTCGCTGGCTGGCAGGTTTTTAGCTGATGTAAATTAACGAAATCATTTGCTTGAGTTATAAGACAGTTTGCTATAGCCATAGCCGTCTCGTAGACGGACCACGGGACGGCTATTGCTACAGTCATTGGTATCGCTACTGCCGCATTTTGCCCAAACTGTCCATAATGTTTCCTTGATCTTTGAACTTGTCGTTTTGAAGCAAATTGTAGAATTTTGGCTTGTGGTTTCATTCCGTTTAGTGCTATAAAATTGACTGCTTAAATTCGGGAGTCATTCTAGTGTAGTCGCCAGTCTGTAACTGTTTGGTGGTCTGCGTTTTCAAACAGTTTTTATTTTTAACAATAACTAAAAATCCAATAGTCTGACGCGCGTTACAGCATACACTTTTCACTTCAGGAGTCAAACATTCGTATCGGGAACGGTATTCATCTTCCCCAAAGATCTGGAAAAGCACTCTCCGGCTAAATTATTCTACGCCAATGAAGTGTACCAGAAAGTGACGGAGGCATCGCATCCCGTGGAAGAGTTAACCAGCCGGTGTGCTGTGTTGACGCTGAAAGATTTCTCCACATGCCGGCAAACGGAGATCCCCGAGGACCAGGTGTACATTATGGAGGCCAAGATCCAGGAGAATGGTCAGCTGTTTAAACGGCACCGGGGAGCACGGTTTCTAAATGTATCTACGACGAGTTCATCGCATGCGACGGAGGATGAACTGTACTTCTTCGATAAGCCCGTCAATCCGAAGCGCGTGGTGTCGCCGTTCTTGGAGGCCGCATTGAGTGGCCGACTGGTGGAAAGCGATACAGACGGCCAGGTACGATTTTGCTATAAGAAATTCGACTTCTTTGAGCATCTGATTATTTTTATTGATGTGTACTTGAGTGGGTGATTTGAGCACATAATTACATAGACGAATTGAACTCTAGGTTTTGTGTTTAGCAGTATCCCATAAAAATTTATTTCGGTTGTTGAAAGTTTGTACGTACACCACACTTCTGTTGCTGGCTGGAGTGGATAATTTTGCAGTCAAACCCAATTTGTTTTAATTTCGTACCCTTTTTTCAGGAATCTCCTCCAACTGTGCAAAGTTACGACGACGACGTGATGAGTGCCACCAACGACACCGACGAAATATCCTCCTTTGCGACGCCGTTATCGCCCGCTGCTTCTGCACTGGAAGCAATACCCAAACGCGGCCGGCGGTTGGGAAAGAAAAGCCCGAAGAAATCCAAATATACAGTGTCCGGATTTATTTTGTACGGAGCGGAGAACCGCAAAACGATTAAAGAAACTCATCCGGGATTGTCGTTTCCGGTAAGTACTACAACACTTACTGTTACGTACTTCATTTAGTCTGCATCGGTAGAGTATGTTTCTTATCCTTTGTTGACATTATTCACAGGAAATCAGCCGCGTAATTTCCGATATGTGGAAAAAACTCTCGGCTCCCGACCGGAAGTACTGGGACGGCGAGGCCCGACGGAAGAGCCAGTTCATCAACGATGAACTGAAGAAACGCGGTCTGACATACCTGGAGGGAATCTCCTTTAAAGGCCTCGGCTCCAAACCCGATTTGGACCTGGTGGATGAACTGGAAAAACGCATTCTGGAGCGGCAGTCGCAGGTGAAAGCACAAGCGGAACTGGAAGCCGCGGCAGCCAAGGCCGTCCAACCGCCTCCACCGCAGCCGGCCCCGCCACCCCCACCGGAACCGACCCCGGCGCCTTCAACGGAACCCGCCGCTCCCACCGGCCCCACCCCTATCCCGCCACAAGCGCTGGCCATCATGCAGGCACAACAACAGCAGATCCAGAATTTAATCCGCCAGCAGCAGCAGATTCATCGGCCGCTGTTCTTAACCCTGCCTCCGGAGCCTCCAAAGGTCAAACGCGCCCTGCACACCGAGGTCTTCCTGAAATATCTGGAGAATAACGGGATGGCGGGAGGGTCCCGTCCGGCGGTGCCAGCATGGAAGCGGCAGTTACAGGCCACCCGGAGAACACGCCGCTGCCTGCCACGATCCCCGGATTATTGGCCGTCTTTGTTGCAGATTGACGCGGCGACGAAGAACAAAGGGATGGAGCTGGTGAATAAGCTGTGGAATACGCGGAATCTCATGTTCACCGGGATGTGCGGCCTGCCGGCCATGCCGGAAGTGAGTGTCAGTGCGCCGCCGGCTGCCATGACCGCGGCGCAGAGCATGGGACCGCCCACGGGGGGAATGGGCGTGGGAATGGGCCGCAGCGCTCTGCGACGGGCGGCGTCCAGTCGCAGGTGAATGTAGCTGGGTGTTTGTGTCTTTTTCTCTTATTGTGCCGGTTAGGGTTGGTTTTACTTGTGGTGTGTATAATTGTATAATTAATGTTTACCTTGCTAAGTTGCTGGTGTGTATTTAAACGTTTGTTGTCGCTGGTATTTGTTTTATTGTTCGTTAATCATGTTTGCTGTTTTTCGCAGGCGTTTATGCAGTACTAATATTTCGTAATTTTATTACCACGCGTGAATCGGCGTATGTTTGTTTGTATTGTTTGTTTGCATACAGCTGGATAATCCCAATACAAGTACAATGAAAACAACATCTGTGCCGTGCGACTATGTGTTGACGATTTGTTGTCCAAGAAACCCGACTTTTTCATGGTTATAAACGACTAAACGTACAGTACTTGTACTTATTCCCGCATCCGCTGCTGCAAAGTTTTACCGCCACATTTCAGTTCACCAAGTGGTCTCTGAATGAAAATGTCAGCAACTGTTCGAGTAGTACTTGCAACAATAATACGAGTATTCAGTATGAACTGCTGTATTGTTTGCATCGACAAAAAGGCACTGTACTCAGTCACCGCGAAACAAACAAATCACATCAAATAAATGCACATAGTTTCGCTTTAAATGTTTAAATGCTTATAGGGCCCCTTTTCCGGCGAGTAATCGGGGTCGGCGATGACATCATCCAGTGGTTTCCCGTCAAAGTCGGTCGGACTCTTCTTCTCCGTCCACTGCGGCACCTTCATCCTCTGCACCCACATTCCATCTGTTTTTCAAGGTCTCCGATAATCGCTCCACTTCGCCTACATTGACAATAATTTGGTTAGGCGCCTCACCCACGATCGTCTGGGAATCGCCGAGTTTGACGCCCCAGTAAGTAATTTCGTGGGAATCATCGATCTGGGTGTCCCGGTGTATACTGCAACCGCCCACTATGGCGACCAGCTGAAGAAATACTTTTGTTGTGTACGAAGTACTGGAAAATCAGAGTGTATCAGAATTATCCATTTTTTTGTTCTATGTTTTCTCCTACGTAACCAAGCCTTGCTCCTGTTTATTCCCTGTGCGTTACTCCGCTTTATTCTTTATTCACTGCATCTACAAGTTGTTTGGCATTGTTGAGATTGTGCCTAATATGCAGGAGTATTTTGAGGCGCTGAAACGGCCGGATAGGGAGGTGCGTGACTTTGGCAACAAGAATCGCGAGATGCTGCTGATTCGCGTCTCCGAGTCCGAGGACCGCACCACGCATGTGCTGATGCGGGCCACCCTCGGAGTAAGTACTGGGCCATCCGCTCATGGACTTACTTATTCGTATTCAGCTTAATGTTTTTTCAGTGCATGATCGAGCCATTTCGCTGTCCGTTTCGTTTCACGGAGAACGCCGCGGACGAGTGTAAGAAATTCCACGCGGGCTTCCCGCAGGGTCTAAGGCCCATCTGGAGGGCAGTCAACACGAACTGCACAACGTACAGCTGAATTTCCACTGTCTCTGTCCGGCCGAGCACAACAACGGCATCCCCTGTACCTTCGTCGCGTTCGACCCGTTCGGAGACATTTTAGACCACCACATTTATACCACCCATCCGGTGTACTACGAGAGGATGTTCGAGGCGCTGTGCAAGCAGTGGAAGAAGAGAAGCGGTCCGGTAAGGTGCTTTCGAGCTTCTACCTGCATGCAGCAGTATGTGCACTACGACTCCCGCCGTTGTAGATGAATCTTAAAATCGTGCGCAAAGAGAGGAACAAGATGTTCCCCGAGTGGACCAGCGATTTGACGCAGCTCTTCCCCAGCCAGATCATTCCCGACAAGATCATAACCCCCACCGTTATCAAGGTGAGCAACGTGGTGAACAGTTCGACGTTTTCGATGTGCCTATAAAATTCTGTATAATACAGCGCAATGCATTCGATATACACTTCGACGTTTTTCGAATTCCGGAAACTTTCGCGGTATGATTTGTGCGCCAGACACCAGAGTCACGGTATTCTCTGCGCTGTATCACATTAGAGATCTTGATAATTTTTTATTAATATTATTATTGTGTGCAGATTTGTAAAATATTATTATGTAATGGATTTTCGAAAAGTTTTTCCATGTGGCACAGTACGGTGTCTATGGTGTGCGGAACGCAAATCCATATTGACTATTGTGATATTATCCGGAATGCGAAAAGCGTCGAAGAATATTTAAAATTATTTTATTTGTTCGTTTACTAATTTCTTCGTTAGTTATACCGCACACAGATACTGCACAATTGCGCTCTGATGATAACCGAAATTATTTGCGTTATTTTTATTTGTTTGCAATATTTAGATTTGGCTTTATCATCCAGTTCACTCAGTTGTTTGAATAACTGAATCGCTATAGTACGAATGCAGACTAATGAAACAATATGTTGGCAGGGGGGAAAAGTGGAGTACGTCTGCAACGTGGAGTCGTGTGCTGAGGCCGATGTGTCGTTCCCTCATTCCGGCTTCCTTTATCTGCACTTCCAGCAGCATCATAGCCATCGCTACGGTCTGCCGACAAAATTCTATTACGCCTGCGTTGACAAGGTACGTGCCCGACACACTTGGCGCATTCCTGATTTTCCAATGGGGTTCTGGTTGCTAACCGTAATTTTTAGAACTGTAGGGTGCGCACGTCGGACATCGACGACCAGATGGAGGCGCATATCAAGGCCGAGCATCCGCAGCTTCTCGATCCGGATGTCACTTTTTCAGTAGCGGCGATGCAGGTGCGTTCCATCGTTGTAGCTACTGAATAATGTCGAGGATCGGTTAGTGTGGATGTGGATTAATAGCACCGGGCGGCGCTGGAAGCGAGGATCACGGAGCGGCGCCTCGGGGAGACCATAAGCAGCAGCGTCGACACCCAGGAAACGTCCGACTGTTTTCTCCGCAGTTTCCAATGTCCCGTGCCGGTAAGCTAGTGTGCGTTGGCTGTTTTTTCTTTCCAGTTTAATTTTATATAAACTGGACTTAATTGTATTTGCTTCTCATTTGTATTACATGCAAAATACCAGTTTCTTTGTTTTCTGTAATTTCTGAGTGATTGCTTCTCCGAAATTGGCGCATCTTTGCTGAATTTTGCAGGATTGCCGCGTTGAATATGAGCAGCATGACCACATTGTCTGGCACATCGGCGCTGATCACGAGAAAGACTGGAATCACGGCGCGCTCCCTCAACCATAACATATGATCATTTTATCTTCTCCAGCTGGAAATTAGGATTTCCGGTGCGGTTTGCAGTACCTTGTTCATTCGCAGCACAGTTCGCAGCACAGTT